CTATACAGAGCGCTGCCGGTGTCTTCTGATGCAGTTTGCTGCCTCTGCACCGCCTTCCAGGGCTCTGGAGCCCATGACTTCCTCCACTAGATGCCACTGAGCCCCAGTCCAGGCTGTGGAAGGAGATCTGACCGAGCGGAACGGGAGCTGTGTGTTTTCCTAACCCCCTGGCCCTGTAGTGGATTCAGTTCTCAGCTGTGAGTGAGGGAAGTGAAGGCGATAGATTGGGAAAAGGACGGGATGAGTCCTGCCCAGGTTTCCTGTGACGCTGGGGTGTCCTGCCTCCAAACGGCGTCAGCTCCCAGCCGGTCACGGGTGCTCCATCCTCCTGCCTGTGGTCAGCACGCGGGTCTGCATCAGCCAGAGCTCCAGCCCAGGAAACCGAGCACCTCTGACCCCAGCCTGGCTGGTTCCCGTAACGCCGGTGCATTGTGTGTGTGCGTGGGCCCATGTCTGACCTCGTAAGCATTGGCTTCATGCCGCTGCGGCTGTTGATGAGGCCTCTTCCCTTTGGTGAGGTTCCTACGTGTCCCTGTCATTTCTGCAATGACATGAAGTTTTATAAGGGAAACAAGAAAAGAAGAGGCAGGCAATCTGCAATCCTTTGGCTTTTGAAACCAGGCAAAAAAGTTGTTCTGGATTGATTTGTGCCTCCCCTAAAATGTGTGGAAATGTTAACCACTCCCCTTATGGCTGGCTGACCTCACCACCATGGTACGCAAGGGGCCACCTGTTAACAGCAAGGCAGGCAGGTGGGACGCACCAGCAGCGATGCAGACCACTCTCTAAGTAATCGGCCCTATTGCACTTTGGAAGTTTCCAGTGTCACTACTGCTCTCGCTGTGTATTGGATCTAGGGGGGAAATTCTCATTGTGATACTCTATCGAGCAGTGTTCTTTACAACACCCGACCAAACCAAAACCTGCAGCCCGTGGTCATTTGAGTATCTCTCTCTGTTCGGACACTGAGCCTTCATAAGGGTTGACTACCTCAGATTTGCTGCACTCACTGTGGACTCCACATGGATTACAACTTCCGGACCGGTTCTTCCATCAAGATTACAGCCTTGGGAACGCTGCAGGGCAGTTGTCCTCAGTCCCACAGGGTCACTGTGACCTGGAAAACCCTTGATGACAGTGGGCTTGCCTTGGGGTCTACCTGGCTATGATCTCCTTTTGGAATGGGTTTTCTTTGTTATGAGACTAGTAATGTAGAGTGTGTTGTAAACAAGTATCTTTTGAAATAGATCTTAGAAAGTGAGAAGTAGAAATGGGAGAAATATTCTGCTAGAAGATTATCACCAAGAAGCAAAGGCTGAAAATGCAAGGCCCTTTCCCAGGACAAACAGAGAAGCCTGCCCTTGGAGTCCACTCCCTGATCTCAGACTTCTAGACTGCTGACTGTGAAAAAATGAATTTCTGTTTATTAAAGCCAGCCCCTTGAATATCTGTTCCAGCAGCATTAGATAAGAAGACGGGGACTGAACCAGTGCATCAGGGGGCTAATTGGCCACCCTCTGGGTCTCAGCTGCTCTGCACAGGTAACCCGGTGAAGAGCTGATCCCAGTGACAAGAAAACAGCTCTTTAACTATCCAATTTGGAATCAGGATGCGGTCCCATCTAGTGTCCACCCCTAACTGAGCTCCTTACACAAGTCCCTCTTTCTCTTTTGCAAAATGGAGGTGGTTAGTCAGGCCTCACGGCATTGTTTTGTAAGTTTCCATTCACATAAGAAACTTGCAAAAAAAAGAAGAGAAAATGCTGCTTTGAAATATCCTCTGCTGTGTCATCTAGCTTAAAGCCAGTACTCTGTAAATCACTATTTTTTAAAAAAGTATTTTTCTCACTTCATAGGAAGTGGTCAATAATTAGTGGCAAAGCACTGAACTGAAATTGCTTAGTGTTTTCTTGGTAGAGTCAATGCATTTGACACAAGTGATTTGCATGTTATCTGAGGACTTTAATTTTTCAAGGGCCACTTCCTAGAGGAGCTAAGTCTGCAGGTGGCCTTGGAGAGCGGACAGAGAAGCAGTGGGTAAGTGAGGCCGAGCAGGGAGGCAGCAGGCCAGTGGAGAGCCATGTTTGGATCCCTCTGTCTGCCAAGGGAAGTTAGAAAGGTTTCAAAAGAAGCAATGTTCCAGGGCTGCATTAATGTTAGTCATGGCTGGTTGCCTTTACGCCCACCAGATGCAAATTATTCATTTATTTGTAGTTTAGAATTAGACTCCAGAGTTACTTAGCCTGAGATTGCTAGAAAACACTTGGGAAGCGATAAAGCAGCATTATCAGTTTGGCAAAGGAAATTGTCATGATTTCAGAATCTTGCCAAATTCAGTCATTGCGTGTGGGTGGAGCCTGCTGTCTGGGGAAAACAGCAGCTTGCATCAGTCAGGCCAGTTGATTGGGATCCAAGTGCAGTGTCATTCCGTAAGTGTCCCCGTGGAGGAAGGCGTTGAGCCTGCTGGACCGCAGGCCCTGCACCCTCATTGCGTAATAAAATCTTCTGTTTCTGGCATCTTCTCTCTTATCCTTGCTGTGGAGACATAAGATTCAGTTAGGGAGGAGGAGAAGAAATGCTGAGTAAAACGAGCTGCTGTGAGAAAGAAACCTCTCTCCAGTAGCTTCGATGATCGAAGTCTTTCCCTCCCACACGACCCTCTGTGGTCCTAGGCTGCAAACGGCTCTCTTCAAGGCAGTGTCAGCCCCCGTGGCACGTCTGACCCCTATCTCTGAAGGCCTTGCGACGAAGGAGAAAGAGGCCATACAAAGAGGGACACTCACCTTAAGCACCGTCAGGCAGCGGGGACCCTCCCCTCCACCACATGCTCAGTATCAGTAATCACTGCACATTTGCCATGAGATCGGAAGAAATGGATAGTGCCCAGCCACCGTGTCTGAGCGTTTTAGTCCTTGTCATAATAGGTCATCCCAGTGGATGGAAAATCATGGGGTAGACTTTCAAATTCATCTGTCAGACCCCATTGACACAAGGGAACACCTAAATTCATTGCCAGAATAATCTTTAAACCTTGAACCACAAATGTCTATGAACCCATCATTAAACAACAGTCTAGCTAAGCTGGCCTTCAGCATGGTGCTTTCATAAACAACTGTCTGTACATCCAAATTCACAGGAATTGAAGCAGGAGTGGCATCCGCTTCCTAAACAACATGCCTCTGGAAACACTATCAACTTTGATACAGGATGATTGTTATAGAAAGGCTTCAGGCCTTTTGTTCATAGGGTCGCTGTGAGTCGTGCTCGACTTGACGGCAATCAACAACAACAACAAAGCACGTGTGAGAACTTTAAAGAATAGGGAGTCCAAAGTTGTGATGAAACGACACGGGTGGAAATGCTGAGAATGACGATAGCATATGAAGGGCGTGATGCATGTTATGAAGGGAGCTTCTCTCAGACGGGGACTTTACCGGGCAGCCAGTGACTCTGTCCCAGTCCTTGGTGGTATTTAACGGACTATAGAAATGATCCCTGAAAGTATAGCCTTCTTGGTGATATCTAAGGACCAGAGTAGGACCTGCTTTTGGGGACATCTTCGACTCTCCTAAGGGAACACGGCAGTGGCTGTGAAGATAACTAGCACCGGGTTGTACTATTGGACATACGTCCCCGTGGCTTGGAACCAACCCTACGGCACCTCATAAGGCCAGACTCTCTTTAGGCCTGTGCTTTGGAAAGTGGTCCAGCCCTAAGAGACCTGATTGCCAGTGTTGGCAAATCTTGACCTCCCCTGGGGGCTGCATCACCAAAAACATAGAATTCATTAGCACTGTCCCTTGTACCTTTTTGTTCTTTACACTTTCATGTAAGAGCATAGATACTTGTTCATAATACACACTACAGATGATAAGAATGCACTTTCTGCTGTATCAGCTTCTCAAGAGCCAGTGTCTGTGGTTCTGTCTATGATACTGTCTATGATACTCTTTTTTTTTTTTTATTCATTTTAATGAAAGTTTACAGAGACTTAGGGTTTCCAGTCATTCATTGCTGCACTTTTCTCCCGGCTCACCCCTCCCCCCAATTCACTCTTCTCCTTGAAAGGTAAAAGAAAAACTCTTTCATTGTTATGCAATCTCTACGCCCCCAAGTCCACTCCACTGTGCTGCCTTCATTCCGGACTCCTGTCATGAAAATAATATCCATTCATATATCTGTCTTAAACAGTTCTCTCCCTCATCTGTTTCAATGCAGTATACGTCATTCCTCCCCTCCTTCTCAGTCTTTCCTCAACCTTGATAGCAGTCCCGTTTTACAACAGTGGCACTATGTAACATTTGTCCTTTTGTGACTGAGGGATTTCACTCAGCATAATGTCCTCCAGGGTCATCCAATTTGCATAATATTTCATGAGCTCTTTGTTTTTCAGTGCTGCATAGTATTCCATTGTGTGAATATACCAGGGCTTCTCTAGACTCTGATACTGTCTTAATGTGTTAACTTGAAAACCAACCAGTGATGGTTTCTTTGTTTTGGAAGCACTCCCTCATGGGAGCCTTGGCCTGTACGGAGGAGCTGAGAGTACCTATTGTGTGCTGAGTTGTTACTGTCAGGCACCAGGGAGTTGAGTCCAGCCTTACGGACAACAAAGTGGAGCCCCACCCACTCCCTCTCCAGCCTCACCATGTCTGCCGTGCATGCGCCCATTACTGCAGGCACTGTGTTAAACCGTCTCACGGAAGATCTTCCTCTGTGTCTGTGATCCTGTTCTGCCAAGCATGATGTCTCATTCTCCAAGGACTGGCCTCTCTTGACCACATGTCCAAAGGGTGCAAGGCAAAGTCCTTGCTTCTCAGGATTACCCTGGCTGTCCTCCTTCTGAGATTTGTTGGTTCTTTTTATAATCCATGTACTGAAGACTGGAAACCAGCAGTGGGGCAGACGCTGGCACCCACGCCATGCACAGGGGCTCAGTCAGGGCGGGGGAGAGGCCCTTCCACGGCCTGAGGCCTCACCCTCCGGGCTCTTTCTCCTCAGGTACCCTTTCCCCATGGTGTTCAGCAGCTGCAGCCGGCGGGACCTGGAGAGCAGCCTGGACAAAGGGATGGGAATGTGTCTCTTCAACCTTCCAGAAGTCAAGCAGCCCTTTGGGGGGCAGAAGTGTGGCAACGGATACGTGGAAGAAGGCGAGGAGTGTGACTGTGGGGAACTGGAGGTAAGAGGGCTTTCTGCCCCATGTCATTGGCCGGGCAGACACTTGAGGTCCTACAGGAGCTTTGCCCCAGAGTGGAAGTTCTAGAAATTCAGGATGCAGAAGTCCTGGGTGCCCACCTTGAGCCAGCCTTGCAAGCGAGGCTAGCTGCCTGGAATTTTAACGAGCTTCTGGTCTAAGTTACATCAGTTGGTTTAAACAGATAAAGAATCTTCTTTGTTTCAGAGTGGAATATTCTCAGCAAAGTGAGGACAAGAACAATTAACAAAACCATTTAGCTCTGAGTGTGGCTGAAAGCAAACCTAGGAATCCTGGCTTCAAATTGCTAATAAGCACCATGTCTTTCTTTGTAAGATGTGCGACCAGAGGGGAATTTGAATAGGCAGCATTCTTTTTTAAGCCAGAGCTGCTCTCAAGCCTCAGTTCCGCCTTTACCACCACAGGCACCTGTCTGCGAGGCCAGAGGCTCCCAAGCCTGCTGCTCCTGGTCTTGTTAGCTTTCACAAGCAATAAGCAGGAGCAGGGAACGTTTATATCCAGCAAAGGGCTTACTTAACCTTCTTATCCAGCTTAGTTGGAGACTGACCTGGTTTCTACAGCACCCAGAATTAAGTTTATCAATATAAAAATTGTAATGTTCACTTTTCCATCTCAGAATACTCTCAAAGGGGAAAGGAAAGAGAAAGAAAGCAGTGAGCCACCAAGGAAAATCAGGGTCTCCCTGAAGCCTGAGGAGGTTGTGTTTAGAATAACTCACAGCAAATCTTTGGACCTCAGCTCCTCTCCATGTGAGATTCCCTCCCCAGCCCTGTGCAGGCTGAAATGGAAGTCAAGTCAAGACGGGTTTGCTAAATTAAGGAGCTTAGTGAGGGTTAAGGAAGGAGTGTCTTGGAGGATTGTTCTGAAGGTGGATTCCAGAGAGGAAGGAGAATTGTGTTGAGGCTGGGTGTCCGCCTGTTTGTGCGTTCACCTGGGGAACAGCAGGCGAAGGGAATCTTGGCCACCTCACGGCCCCACATCTCTGTGTTTTTCTGTACCAGCAGCAAAGATTCCAGTCTGACAGTTCTGCAGGAGTGTTCCGGATGGATAAGTTCTGGGGGCTGTGCAGAGACACTGGGACCCTCAGTGGTAATGGCTTTGTCCCCTGAGGGGTTGAGCACAGTCTCCACGGTGACAGGATGCTGGGTCGGAGTGAGTTTGAATTGGGAAGTTCCCAAACCCTTTGTGAGAACATTAGAGGAAAACTTGAAACCATCCAGGTCAAGGGTGGGCAGAGGGAAGATTGCTTGTGGCCATATTAATGACTTGGGGGAAAAAGAATAGCTTAAGTTTCCCATATTTCTCTGGAAAGGCCATGTTGACTTAAACTGGTTTGGGTTTTACTTGAGCTCCTTACATTTGTGTGAATTTAAATAAGTCTGGCAGCTCTTTATGGAACCATGAAGTCTTGAGATTTGTACAACTGCATTAGCATCACTTACTGGATACCCGTTCCCCTCCACCACCACGCCACTGCCACCAGCGTGGTCCCTGTTGCATGTTCACACCCATCCTGTCACCTGCTACCATCATCATCACTCCTGGACCAATGTGCCTGCAAGGATCCCTACCAGCACTGTCAAGTGCCCCTGCCACCCTCACCATCTGACTGTGGTCACTGCCATCTCTGGTGTCCTCTTCCCCACAACACTCACTGTCACCAGGGTCACCGTGATCAGTCACTACCACTGCACTTACATTTCTCCAGCCGTCACTGTTATCCCAGTCCCCACCGCCACCCCCTCCATCTTCACCATATCATCACCATCATCCATCCTCTAGTCCCCACCATTCCCACCACCACCATCAGCATCCGTGCTGCAGTCACCACCGTGCCCACCGCTACCCCACCATGCTAGACAGTCTATGAGTGCTGGGAATTCAGTCAGGTCTTCCTTGATCTCCTTCAGAGAGTCGCCCAGCTTGTCCATGTATAACCAAGCAGTGCATTTCATTGCAGGGCAGATTCTGTCTTTATCAGCATATTCCACCGTAGAGGTAACTATGTCCATATAACTTCCAGCTTCATTTTCACTGCATTTCTTTCTCTCTCTCATTGCTATTGAGTTGGGACCAACTCCTAGCTGACACACTGGGTGTCTAAGGCTACAGGTCTCACAGGAAGAGATTTCCCATCTTTCTCCTATGAAGCTGCTGGTGGATTTGAACTGCTGGGGAGCTGTGGCCTTTGAGTTAACAGCATAATTCCATACAGACTATGCTACCAGAGCTCCCTGTTTCCACATTAGGGTCCTTGTTTGATGGGATAAGATTCTTAGATTCGCGTTTGTGTCATCCAGATGATGGCGGGAATCTGTGAGTCTCGTGGCCCTCTTGCCTCCTCTCCTATTTTTCTTTTTCTTTATGGGGTCTAAGTGCAAACTCTCTAACAGCATGACAGCCGATTCCCTGTTCCCAGTCTCTTTTGACCTGCACTTTTCATCGGCTCTCTACCCTGAACTCTGTGTTCTCCTCCTCAGGCCTGGAGCTAGCGGCTGTGTCTTTGTGTCTGGCCTCTTGGTCTGCTGGGGATGAGGCCGGCTTCTCATCTGTGAGTGATTGTGAGTCAGAGTAACCTCAGCCACACAGCTAGACCCAGCATCTGCTCTCTCCTTCCCACAAACCCTTGTCATTGCTTTCAGAAAGACGCATTAGCGTGTATCCCAGGTCACCATGACTAAGAAGCTGTGTCTGGTTTTTCAGTGTGAGAATGGCAATTAGGGCATTTGGAGAGAATTCTCAGATGACTTCATTAACTCCTCTTTCTTTGGAGAGAGACTTAGTATTCATGGCTGTCTTGACCATCTCTGTTGAATACTAAGAAATAAATGACTAAATGTGTTAACCAGTGAGGCCTCTGGCTCTTCTGATAAATATGGCACTGCAGAAGAAACAGATTCCAGGTAGTTAAGAGTGTTGATGCTTCTCCATCGAGAGCCTAGGAGTGATATTAACCAGAAGGCTGTCCTGACAGTTCACTCCTTCTTCCAGCCAGCAGGGCAGGGAACAGAACCTTATCTCCTTGTTTAAAGTCGGTGGGATGCCAGTAGCTTGTAGATATCTTGGAAACGTCGTTATCTCTTCTATTTTCTCTCTTTCACATGATCAATCGCCTTTGAAGTCAGAACTGCTCTGTCTGAGGCATTTCCCTTAGAGCTGCCGCTTCCATTATCCAGTGACTGGGAGGGAGTGGAGGTGAGGCATCTTAGGACCTAGATACAGGGTGGCTGATGTAATTTAACATTTCAAAGAATTGTGAACTTTGGTTAATGTTTTACTGCCAGAGCCATTTGGACCATAGCAAGCAGGACAGCATTGCTGTGGTTTTGAGGGAAATGAACAGGAATGCAATTAACCAACTCCTTTGACAAGAACAGAAAAAGCTCCCAAACTTCTTAAGAGTGTAAGTCTATAGATTAGAAACTCTCATGACCATCAAAGGTCCCACGGTGACTTCTGGTCGGCAGTTTTATCTTATTGTTTATATAATACCTTCCGGATGTTTATAAAGTCCTTGAGCAAATTTACAATTTCATAACTGTGGATGTATATATCATGGGAACAAATGGTAAACCCCAGCTGAAAGCGTGGTTCTTAAGAGTTTGCTGTGGAATGTGGCTGAGATACAAGTCTTACTGTAAATCTGTTTGTTGACAAAATCATGTTAATTGCATTTCTGGTGTTCATCGTATAGTCATTCAAAAGCATGATTTTCTGGAAGAAGCTATAGACTGTGGCCAAAAGAGTATGAGTTCTTCATAGCTTATCATACATTGAATAAAATAAAGGGGTGTTGATATATTAAGCTATTAAGCGTCTCAGAGATTCCGTGAGCTATGAGTTCTGATAATTTTAATTTCTTCTAAAATATGTACACCACAAGGAACTAGGGTGTTTCCTAGTACAGGGCGTTCATGAACACACTAGATAAATGTACACGGGCCTCTGTTTACACAAGTCCTATGTTTAAAACTGAGCCAAGATGGTCACTCTCTTCTCTTTGGTTTTTTAAAAAATGGGTATTTGTGCACAGTCTAGTAAAAGAGCTCCCTTTTCTCTCTCATTTTATTTCGAGGGGAACAGTGCTGCTAATATTTGATGTGTCTGCTTCAATCTCTTGCAGCTCAATAGACACAAGCTATAGGCTCCTCTCCAGCTGCCCTGTTGTTCTGAGTGACCAGGGGCCCCATCCGGGTAGAAGCTGTCAGTGCTGGACGACTGTTCCTCTCTGGACATTTAGCTGGTTGCAGGGAAGCACAGCAGTTTGGACTTTATTTCCAGCTGGTACATTAAAGACCTAAGGGTCAGGCTTTGAAGAGTAAAGTTTTATGTGGTTTTGTTAAGTGCTGAGGAATTGATTCCAACTCACAGTGACCCTCTGTGACAGAGTGGAAATGTCCACAGGGAGTCATGTTAACAGCAGCTCACCGGGTCGACTTTCCATGGAGCCAGTGGGTGGGTTTGAAACATTCACCTGGCAGTTAGTGGCCAGTGCATAACTGTTTTCATCACCAGGGCTCCTTGAAGTATGTATCCATCTATAAACCAAAATTATAAAGTCCAATGCCATGAGAGCAATGGTTTTGTAAATCACTATGTAACTTGGGAGGGACCAGGAAGCGTTAATGCTAAGTGAACTAACTCAGTCTTATAAGGGTAAATATGGTATAAGACCATTATTGTAGAACATGTATGAGGATCCAAGGGGGAGGGACCAGAGGGGTGAGGATGGGTGGAGATGGGGTGGGGGGAGGGGAGGGTAAAGGAAATGGGGAAGATCCAGCGTGAAAAACAATGTATATGAACTTTGGAAAGAAAACCAGTATAAACTATAAGTTTTCTTTTTAAAAAAAACAACCAAACAAAGAAACTCCTGCCGTGGAGGTGACCCCAGGCATGTGACCCCACATTTGGTTTCTAAGCTGATAAATCTACGTGTAGAGACGGTCCCCCTTGATCCTGCAGAGGAGATGGTGGGTTCGCACCTCTTGAGCTCTTGGTCAGTAGCACAGACGCAGAGCACTAAGCTTCAGAGCTCGGTCTGTGTATCCTTTCAATCTGTGAGTTCAGAGACCTGCAGAGGTGAGAGATGCCCTGAAGACAGACAGGTAGCTTCTGAGGCCGCTGACCTGCCTTTTCCCAGTCTCGCTGCTGCCCCCAATCCAGGAGAAGGTCTCCTCTCTACGGATGTCTCACGGGGACTGCGGACCAGTCTGTTGATAAACATGGAGCAGAAGCGTAGCTTTCTCCGTAATGGGAACACCCTTCCATCAAGTGCACTTAGCCTGGGAGCCAGGCCTCCTGCTCCTCCTTGCCTTTTTGGGGGTTTCGGCTGTGACGTGGGCCTTCAGCCCAGGCTTGCTCCCTGTGACCCCTCTGACGGCTCTGTCCCCTTCTCCAGGAGTGTACGAATCGCTGCTGCAATGCCACCACCTGCACCCTGAGGCCAGATGCTGTGTGCGCGCATGGGCTGTGCTGTGAGGACTGCCAGGTGAGCTGCCAAGCTGTGCCAGGTCGGCCCGGTGCTGAAGCAGGGCATGGGGTCAGTGTGCTGGGAGCCCGCTAAGCTCGGCTTGATAGTGACTGCCTCCTGTTTCGTTGTCTGTCTGTCTGCACGGACCGGGGAATAGCATTTTGTAATGAATCCTTTCTTAGAGGCCTTAGACGTCTGGGACCTAGGGAAGAGGCATTGCTTAGTGGATGTAGGGGCTGGGGAGGGCAAATCAAGGCTTTGGAAACAGAACATGGTGATACTTATACCACATTGTGGAAGAAATGAATGTCCCTGAATCCCACACTTAGAGAGGTCCAAATGACAGGAGAAACACGTATGTTGTCAGAGGTCCTGTTTATTTCAGCACGGTTTATTCAGTGGTAGCGATTAGTTTCCACAGTGTGTCAGCATTCTTGATGATTCCTTTCTGCTCGTTCTGTTTCCGACAATCTTGTTTCCTGCCTTGGTACCTTCTTGGCTTTGCTTCATAGTAATTGTTGACCATTCGGTCTCTGTGGTTGGTTAGTTTTTCCACTCACAGGTGTTAACTCTGTAGCTCGTAAGCCACTCGGTTACTTAGTTCAAGGTGACCCGGGGCTCGTTTCTATGCAAGGTTTAAAAGTGTCTCCGCATCCTAGTCTCAGAAGGCCCTCGTCTCCACTGGTGCAGTAGCTCTGGGCTTTGTAAAAGAGTGAGTTCTCTTCCCCTTTTCTCTCCCATTCTGCCAGGATCTAGCTATCATGGCCCTGATCAGAATGACCGCTCATGGACACCATGAGCTCTTCTGGTCTCCGGGTACATGAAGCCGTGGTGAATGGAGACTGTTAGTGCTGTAGGCTGGTTTCTTCTTTGAATGTTTGGTTTCTTCTTTCTCTTTTCCTCCAGATAAGAAGAGACTGTCCGTTGTGTCTTAGATGGTTGCTCGAAAGCTTGTAAGACTCCCAGCACTACTGACCAAGCTAGGATGTGGAACATGAACTTTATGGACTGTGTTATATAAAATGGAGAATTCTGTAGGGAGCTCTGGTGGCCTAGTGGTAAGACTCTGTCTTGCAACCCCAAAGGCATGCGCTTCAAAACCACCAGCTGCTACGTGGGAGAAGGATGGACAGTCTCCTTAGCCACTAACCAGTAGATTGGTGGTTTGGATGCATCCAGTGGCCCCATTAGGGAAAGACAAGGGATCTGCCCCAATAAAGGAAGATCACAGCCTAGAAAACCCACAGACCTTCTTCCGCGTCCCTTCGTGTACCGTGGGATTGGAACCGACCCATAGCTGGCCCTCCAGGGGGGTTTCAGAGGCAGCGAATCACACAGGAGGAGATTGCCCAGCCTTGTCCCGTAGAGCAGCTGGTGGATTTGAACCACGCTCCTGAGGACTGGCACTCCCTCTTCTGTGCCACATGGGATTGCTCTAAATTGAAGGCAGCTTGATGGCATGTGGCCGAAATGACAGCACATTTCATCATGATAATAGATAATTGTCCATATGAAGTGTTCAAATGTCCAGTGGTGCCGTTGGAAGTGTTACGGACTGTGACAGGTGTGTGGCCATGGCCGTGGAGTCAGGTCCCACTCACAGCGACCCTGTGGACTCCTGAGGCCATGGGTCTTTACAGGACCAACTGCCCATCCTTCTGCCATCGAGAAGCTGGTGGACGTGAGGGTTAGCAGTGCAGCTCCAAACGCAGCACTACGTGAGTGCCTAACGACTCGTAAATAAAAGTCCAGTGTTGATAACGGAAGAAACTTTCGTGCGAGAGGAATTCCTGATCCCTGCCAGCCAGCCTCACCCGGGGTTCCTCCTCTTAATCCCAGGAGCACCTGTGGGGCTGAGGAAGCAAGCCTGGGGTTATCTGGGGGCTGAGTATAAACATCTCCACCTTGGAGTCTTTCTAGCTTAAGGTGTTGGCTGACCCTACCAGCCGAGCATGACAGTCCTGTACTCTGGCCATTCCTGCCACCGCGGCTGTGTTTGTTTTGGCAAGTTTATTGTCTCCTTAACTCAGAGCTAAGCTCTGACAGCACGTGAAGGCTGAGCTCTGGATTCAAAGGTTCCAAGGCTAGTGTTATATTCTTTTTAATTAAGCAGTTGATTTTGGCATTCTGCTCGCAGGAAACTCCCTCTAAGCGACCCCTCTCAGCATGGAAGTTTGAAGGTGCAGTGCATTTTATCCTCTGCTTTCAAATAGCCTGCCTCCTATTCCTCTGGAGATTGGCCTGTGGGTAGAGTGAAAGGCACATTCCCTGGCAGTCAGCAGCTGTGGGTAGAAGGTGCCTGGGAGAGGGTTGGGGGGAGCGGCGAACAAGGATGGGCTTATGCCCAAGCCAGGTGGTGGGAGAAGAATAGGGCTATGGACAATGCCTCAGTGTGATCCCTTTCGTTTAATGACTTGTAAACCGTTCTTTTCCTCCTCCAGACCTTTTTGGGAAGTGGCAATAGTCTTATGCCTTCAACGTGAGCAGGGAACCAAGCTCTAGAAGGGAGTTGAGGGGTCAAATCAACAAGCACTCTGCACCCCTCTTTCCTCAACCTTGGTTTTCACCATCCCTCAATACTCTTATTTCACATCTTCTCTGCCTCTCCCTTCAAGAACTAGGGAGTGTGAACTGATGAAAGCTCATGGTCTCAGAATGATTTTTTTTTAATAACTTCCCCACAATTGTGTCTTAAAACTCCTAGTGGTGTTGGCATTTGAGATCTTTTTCCTAAGAGTCAACAGCTCATACTCCCCCTCCTCACTCTTCTGGGGAGCCAGGGGAGCAGTGGTCACTCCTCTGCTCAGCAGGACCTCTGATGTGTGTAACTAGACAGGGACTTCCCTGGGTGGACACCACAGAGAACAGACATCCCCAGAGCCTGGATGAGACACTCATCCCCAGGCCCCGTCTTCAGTAGAAGGGACTCCCTTGGAAGTCTGGCCCCTCTGTGTGAGGCACCCTGGGGGCCCTTGCTCCAGGTCTCCCATGGAGCCAGCCCCCTGCTCCCTGAGGTAGTCATGACGACCCCTCTCCTTGCAGCTGAAGCCCCCAGGAACGGCCTGCCGACCTTCCAGCAATGCCTGTGACCTGCCTGAGTTCTGCACAGGGGCCAGTCCTCACTGCCCAGCCAACGTCTACCTGCACGATGGCCATCAGTGCCAGGGGCTGGATGGCTATTGCTACAGCGGCGTCTGCCAGACCCACGAGCAGCAGTGTGTCACGCTGTGGGGGCCAGGTACGTGTCCACCTCGGGTCAGGGACATGTCCATGTCACCAGTGCTGGCCACCTCAGGGGCCAGGGACATGTCCGTGCCACTGTTCTGTTCACCTTGTGGGCCAGGTACGTGTCCACACGGGTGCTCTGTCCACCTCGGGTCAGGGACATGTCCATGTCAACAGTGCTGGCCACCTCAGGGGCTAGGGACGTGTCCATATGCCAACAAGGCTGGCCAGCTTGGGGCCGGGGACATGTCCATGCCAGTGCTCTGTTCACCATATGGACCAGGGACATGTCCACACTGGGACTCTGTCCACCTCAGAGACCAGTTATTTTGTCCATGCCGACAATACTGGCCACCTCAGGCCAGGACCATGCCCTTGCTGATGTTCTGTCCACCTCAAGGGTCAGAGACATGTCTGCACCAGAAATTGTGGCCACCTTGGGGGCCAGGGCTGTGTCCATGCCAGTGCTCTGTCCACCTTGGGGACAGGGATATGTCTACACCAGAAATGCTGGCCACCATGGGGGCCAGGGCCGTGTCCATGCCAGTGCTCTGTCCACCTTGGGGACAGGGACATGTCCATGGCAGCAGTGCTGGCCACCTCAAGGTTAGGAATGTGTCCACATGAGCAGTGCTAGCCACCTCAGGAGTAAGGGACATGTCCACGCCAATGCTCTGTCCACCTCAGAGGTCAGGGAGTTGTCTAAACTGGCGATGCTGATCACTGTATTAAGGGTCAGTACTATGTCCACTTGGGGATCAGGGACATGTCCATGCCAGTGCTCTGTCCACCTTGGGGGTTAGGGATGTGTTCATGCTGGTGATGCTGGCCACCTTGGGACCCAAGGGTGTGCAAGAGCCGATGGCCACTGTGGGACGCGGGATCACGTGTGCTGGGAGACCCAGCCCTGCTGCAATGTCACCTCTGGTCCCTTTTCCAACAAGAAAAATGTGGGTCTCTGTGCTCTCTCTCCAAGTTTTGCCGCCATGTGACTCAGCAGAATCCTAGTGGCCCACGCTGCTCTTATCGTGCCACCTAACCATCCTTGAGCCGGGAGCTGGCTGAGCCCCTCTCTCCTCTCCTCACTGTCTCCCCAGTAGTGGAGGAGGACTTCTGGGGGGACATCACCCCAGGTCTCAGCCTTTCTGGAGAGACAAGTAGGGCCCCAGACAGGCTGCTACCTCAGGCCCCAGTTCCCTGGCTCTCGGTCTCTGTCACCTCCATCTCTGTCCTTCAAGTCACCACACTGGGCTCCCCGGGGAGCAGGACGTGCCGGAGCTGGTGGCCGTGTGGTCAGCACACGCATGCTGGCCCTCTGCAAACACCTGCTCCTCTCCCACTGGCCAGGTATTTGCCCATTCATTCCCTCAAGGGCTCTGAGTGTCACCAACTCAGTGACTAAGATGAGACAGATGTGTCCGGGTTTTAGACGGAGGCCTGGTGGCGCAGTGATGAGGCATTGTGCTGCTCACCGAGATTGGATCACCAGCTGCTGCGCTGGAGAAAGGTGAGCCGTCAGCTTCTGGAGCAATGGCAGCCCCGGAAATGTGCAGGGCCGCCCCCCACTGGCCCCAGAGCCGCTGGGAAGCCAGCTGGATTCCAGTAGATGGGTGAGTGGCCTGCTTTGGGTTTGGGTCGAATTTGAGAGGCCCAAGTCCAGGCCCGAGATGCTGGCAGCGCTGTTTTCTTTGCAGAGCTCCAGGAGGCCTGGTTCCTGTCCTTTTCTGCCTTCCAGGCCCTGAGTCCTGTCCCTGCTCTCAGAGCCAGACCCTCTGTCCCAGCGCTGGGGACAGACTGGGGCTTCCTGTCTCTATCCTCCAAGATTGTGCACCGTGACGCTGAGCTTGCACGGTTAACCCCTTTCCAGAGCTTTAGCTTAAGCACATCCCAGTGCCCTCTCTGCTGTGTGAGGTGACAGGCCTAAGTTCCAGGGATTATTATGTGGATATCTTGGGGGGCTCTTGTCCTCCCTCAGGTGGGAAGGTGGTCAGAATGATGTACAACAGAGATGCCCTTCAGGATTTTCTCCTGTTGCGCACAGGGTCCCTGTAAGTCAGAGTGGGCTCAATGGTACCTCATCGTTCTCCCTGGACAGACCCCTCACTAGCCGGGGGGCCTTGGACACCACGCTTGACCTGTAAGTGGGGACAGTTGTGTGGATGAACAGATCGCCATGCTCCAGCATGGTATGTGTCCAGCACACACGGTACCCACTGTGCACGGCCACTGCTGCCCTGTGCCACCGACTTAGCTGTGACCCCCGCATTAAGGGGGAAGCGCTGTCCCGTCCCACACCGTCCTGCACTTGGAGCCCGTTGGTGCCGCCCCTGTCTCTCCACTTCATTGAGTGCCTTCCTTTCTTTGCTGACCCTTCTTCACCAAGGATGATGCTCTTCTCCGAGGCCTGGTCCCTCCTCATACCATGGTCGAAGGACATGGAGACAGCCCGAGCTTATCTACCACCCACTCCTTCATTCGCTGAATACTTGTCACTCTTGCTCTTTGTACCTTAGGAGTCCCTGGTGGTGCAGGCAGACAAGCACTCAGCTTCAAGCTGAACTCACCTGGAGGCATCTCCGAAGGCAGACCCAGTGTTCTACTTCTGCAAGTTCACGCCCATGAAAACCTCATCTGCCTATGTGAGGGCGGGGCACGATGGGTCAGAATCCTCTCAGTGGTACCTGGCTGGTTTCTCTGTTGTTACTTGTTTGAGGGGCCTCTGGAGGCAGACATGTGAGTTAAGTGTTGGGCTTTGAACTGAAAGGTCAGGAGTTTGAACCCACCTTGTTTCCCTGGGAGAAAGTGGAGACAGACTGCTCCCATAAAGAGTCACAACAGAGGTCACTGTGAATTGGAATCAGCTTGAGGACAGCTGGTTTGGTCTTGTGGTTTTGTTGGTGCAGTGGTTAAGTGCTTGATTGTTAACCAGAAGGTTGGTGTTTCAAATCTACTGTCTGCTTCTTGAGAGAAAGATGAAGCTGTTTGCCTCCAGCCTTGGAGGCCCTGTGGGGACATTTGCTCTGTGCTGTGTGGGTTTCCATACATCAGATCGCCTTGATGGTGGATTCTACAAGGCTGACTCACCCTGGCCTCCTCATAGCCAGATTGTGTCCTCTTCCCTGGACCTGAGTCAGCTCAGATGAGACTTGTCCTGCTGGCCCACAGGAAGCATTAGTCCTGGACAGATCCAGGCCGAGAGCAGAATTCACTTCCTCGCTGCTCCCGGGCCAGGTGTATGGAGCTCAGAGCTTTCCAGTGTTTTGCATCATTTAGATCAGCTTGAGATTTCAAAAGAGAAACCATCAGGCCAGGGCTGCATTTACAGTCCTTCATTTGCCGTCCATCCTCGGATGCTCAGGGACTTGGACCACGCTCGCCCAGGGGTCATTCCAGGCCTCCTGGAAGCACTTGGCCCCACCGAGCTCCTTTCCAGCTGGCCCTTGCTGTTTGTGCCCTGGTGACCTGACCCAGTTGTAAAGTCATCCAGGGCTCTCGGTTCCATCCAGGCACCGAGCTGGCTGTCCAAACCCGGACCGGATGAAGGCTTACTCCCAGCTAACTATTCCCTTCTGAGATGGGCTCTTCCCATTCCAGCGTGATATTTCAGCACAGTAACCCGGCTTCCAAATCTCTCTGCAAATAAGATGAGAAATTCAAAACACATGCCTGCAGCCCGTAACTCACAATGCTGTACATACGAGTGTGCTTTTGAGGTCAAAGTTGATCTGCTTTGCTAATTGTTGTGGATAATGATGTCCTTGTTGGCTGTGACTGTCATATCTGCCCACCCACCCACTTTTCTCCCGTAAATCTCACATCACAAGACTGTGTGTCTGCTCCGAGGATACAGATACTGTCTGCTACTCCAGTAGCGCCTTTGAGCTCAGCGCTCCAGGTCCAGTTCAGTCTTCATCTCCACAAAGATTTCCTGCCAGCATGATGTGACCTTTATTCCTCGGAAACAGAGTGGATGCTTTTCTTCAGGCAGCCCATTGACTTTTGCCAATGTTGTTTATCTGCTGGTCACTGGAAACATTATTTGGAAATCAATCTTACGGATAACGGCGTGTCTGAAGCCAGAAACCATCTCCATCAGGCAGGTCCTGAAATACGGCCTTTCTCTGTGGTGTGTCATCCCTGGAACCCAGTACTGCCTGATTGGTGCCGCAGGAGCAGGCCGGGCGTGTTTCCGGGCGGGTGAGTCCTCGGGGTTTACCTGCAGGACTGCTGGTTTGTCGTGACCCACCTGGCCCTGGGTTTGTGGAGCATGTGGATTTGGCGGCAGCAGATGGGAGGAGAAGATATTTGTGCCAGGGTCAAGTTTAGTGGGAATCTCCAGAGTCCCCGTATAGTGTGAGAGAGACAGCCTAGAATGTGCTCATTTGGGCTTTGTTTTCTAAATAATGTGGACATTGAACTGAGGAGGAAAAACCAAGAAGAAATTCAAGCAGCAGCTCCGTCGATACTGTGCCTGAGGACCCTGGGGACAGAGGTGGAAAGAGCTGATTGGACTAAATCAGAGAGGTCCACTTGCATAATGGAGTCATTGTTGGGAAAAATTAAGGGCCAGTAAATTACGGGCTTCGTGCAAGATGCCATGGTCATCATCTGTCTGTCAGGAGATAACGACACCAGGGACCAACAGACCAGAGTGAGGAGACAGCCGATAGCAAGAGTCCAGCTGTTCATCCAGGCCCACGGCTGCCAGTGTTGTTAGAGCCCACAGTGTGGGGGCACATGCCCTCCAGACCGTTCCCTTGTGACTGTGTCCAGGCATCAGTGTTTCCAGGCCAAAAAGCCAAGCTTTAAACGGATGTAATTTGGTGCCACCCACTGGCATCACATTGCTTCTAACTCACAGCAGCCCTGCAGGACTGGGGAGAAGCAGTGGGTGACTGGATGGTGGGGTGGACAGCTGGACAGGTAGAGGATGGGAAGGTGGGGGAATGGGAAGGGGGAAAGAGAAGGTTGTAAGGGAAGGCTGGATGAGAGAATGGAAGGGTGAGAGACAGAGGTGGCAAAGGTCAATATGCAGCATGGGCACAGACCACAGACACTGGGCGCTGGCAGTCCAGATGCTACTTTTTCAGAATGGCGTTGATTCTTCTAAGTGCTTTGATAGCCAAAACTCGGTGAAATTGATTTCAACTCATTATTACTCATAGGACAGAGTAGAACTGCCCCCACATCACTTCCTAGACTGTAAATTATTGTGGAAGCTGGTCTGTGAATCTCTGTGGAGCAGGTAGCAGACCCAAACCTCTGACCTTTTGGGTTGCAGCCCACCATGTCCACACTGACACCAAGGCTTCTTAACCCTCCACCTGTCAGTGTTGTTACGTGCCACTGAATTGGAACCGACCCATAGCTGACCCTTCACTGAATTTTCAGAGGCTGTAAATCTCAATGGAGGAGATTATCCATCTTTCTCCCCTGGAGCAGCTGGTGGATTCGAATCACGGGAAGTAGTAGTTAAGAGCGCAGAAAATGAAAAGAAGCATAAGGCAGAATAAGAAAGGGATCCCCAGTGAACAGAAGCTGGGTGAGTCCATGCTGTCCCCGTGCTTCAAGGCAGCAGAGCTGGGTCCAGGACAGAGTAGACGGAGTGGGAGGCTGGGAGCCTCTCCTTCTCCACAGCGCAGGGCTGTGTCCAGATGATGGCTGGGCCCCTTGCAGAGGAGCGTCCAGGGAGCATCTCTGAAGTGGATTTCGAACAATGAGAGCAAAGGAGTCTGTTGCTGGATGGTTTCGTGCTTGGAAGGCCCCTCGTTGAGCCCATCACCAGCCTCCTGTGTTGAATGGCATTCTCCGGTCTGCTTTGGTTTGCCTGTGTTTGCAATAAGATGCTGTGTGTCTGCTCATTGCTGACGAGGAGGAAGGAATCCGACACAGGATTTAGAGTGATGGATGTTTTGAGCATCCTGTTTCCTGGAGGGAGGAAGGTCCGTCAGCAGAGTGTCAAGTTGGTATGTTCTTTGTCACCTTGAACGGCTTGGTGCACAGAGAAGGGCAGTGGAGAGCTGGACCCTGGGAAGTCAGCACCAGGCAGTCACACGTGATAGGAAAGTCCTCTCCTGTCACCAACAGGACTCCAGTGGGGTGAGAGGGCAGCCAGGGTCGCCAGAATGTGAGACGTTTTGCTGACCTTCTCATGTTTGTTAGTCTCCAGAGAGCTCACTGCAGTGGGCCCAGGGCTACTCCAGAGGGTGGCCACAGCTTCCTAAGGGTGACTTCTCTCCTTGGGCTAGAAGGTCTGCTCAGGCATTTCTTGAGCTCGCCACCACCCCATCCACATCCTCTGCTGTAGACTGGCATTGGTGTATGATGGCCAGTTGGCTTTACATTTCCAAAATAACCTCTGCTAAAAGGAGCATTGATTGAGGCTGCTTTCCTGGGGAATCGGATGGAAGTGTGTTTCACAAGATCTGTGCCCTGCTCGCTGTGGCTCTGTGTGTGTTGCTATGTCTGTCTGTCTCCGTCTCATATGCACGCACGCTGCTGTCACCCCACGTCTGTCCACTAGTCCTCATTCCTCTTTGGGGCCTGCTGCAGGTGTATTTATTCCCTGGACGTGTGTGGGAAGTTATTGGAGACAACATGCTCCCTTCCCCAGAGGCCAACAGGCTGAGTTCTGGGCGGGTCGGGTGTCGCCTCACCTTCCAAGAGGCAACACCTGATGAGCTCGAGATGAGGGGGGCCCACGTGCTCCTTGACCATGAGAGGAGCCAAGAGAGGCTGCTGATCACCCGCCTGCTGGCCTGAGGTCCACAGCAGGGTCAGCCTAGCACCAGGCTGGCTCTCTACCCTAGATCTAGGACACTTGCACTTGACAGAGTCCAGACCCCAAATCACCACCTCACAGAGACCCCACAGGACAGAGCGGAACTGCCAGTCGGGTCCCCGGATTTTGAATGCGCACGGGAGCAGGTGACACAGTCTTCTCCCCGGGGGCACCTGACTTCACTTAGCATCTGAGTGCTTAACCACTGCACCACCAGGGCGCCTTCCTGATCGTCCCGCTCCCCTGCCCTCGAGGCGAGCCTCCCTCAGATCCATGAGGCTGTCAGTCTCCCACCAGGGTCCACAAGGAGGATTGTCCACCCTTCTCCAAGGGAGCGGCCAGAGGATTCCATCTGACAACTTCTCAGTTCACAGTCTGACACGTTACACATTGAACCCCCAGGCTCTTAGAAGCCAAACGCAAACAACACGTTGCCAAAGTGGCTCATAGTGGACAGCCCAGCAGGTTATTAGAGGCTGTTGATAGTTGCACCAGACATTGTCCCTCTTTCTCCCACGAGGCAACTCCTGGGTTTGAACTGCCTGCCTTTGGGTTGGCAGTGCATTAGGCCATGAGAGCTCTCTTCCCTGGTGCCCAGTGTCATCCAAAGGAGAAACCAGACAGAGGTAAAAGTGCTGCCTCCTTTGCTCCCGTTCCAGGTGCGAAACCCGCCCCAGGGATCTGCTTTGAGAGAGTCAACTCCGCAGGTGACCCCTATGGCAACTGTGGCAAAGATCCCAAGGGCTCCTTCACCAAGTGCGAGATGAGGTAGGGGCCTGCTCCAACCAGTGCCGCGTCAGGGCGCCCCTCGAGCTTGTGGGGGGGCCCTCTGAGTGCTTCCCCTTTGGGGACTGTCTGTCTTGCCCTTTCAGAGATGCCAAGTGTGGAAAAATCCAGTGCCAAGGAGGTGCCAGCCGGCCGGTCATTGGTACCAACGCCGTTTCCATAGAAACCAACATCCCACTGCAGGAAGGAGGCCGGATCCTGTGCCGAGGGACCCATGTGTACTTAGGAGACGACATGCCAGACCCGGGGCTTGTGCTCACAGGCACGAAATGTGCAGATGGAAAAGTAAGGAGCAGGCGCGGGCTGGCGTGGCCCAGCTGGCATGGCTGGACGGGAGCCGTTGAGAAAGGTGCTTCTCGGGCCTGGGGTCCGAGGTCTGGCTCCATCCACAATCTATACTGCTCAGCCCCGTCACTCAGAAGAGAACCCGGCCATCTCCAGCCGTGGTCGGCCGTGGAGCTGCCGCTCTGGTATCCCGCGCCCACCGCCCACCCTGTCTGCTCTGCCTCTCTGTCCTACGCTCAGTCCTTCCTGTGCTCTGGTGTCACGTTCCTGCCAGGAAGTGGCTGTGGAGGAAGCGCGGGAGTGAGTGATGTTGTGCTTGGAGCGCTGGTTGGGGTTTTGGCCCAGAGCTCTTGGGGGCCTTGTTCTCACCTGGACAGAACGGGAAGACAAGTGTATTTTCAGCGACCCTGTGGGGAGAAGCGCGGGAAGGAGAAAGGGTGGGATAAGCTGAAGCAAAAGAAAGTCGTGAGGAAACAGAGGGAAAGGAGAATAGGATACTTTGAACTTGAGAAACAGTGTTTTAAAAGAGAAACATTTGGATTTCACATCCTGCCAACCTGATTCTTTTCTTGAAACTTTCTCACCCAGACTGAATAGGAGCAAGTTCCTGAAGGGAACCTGCTGGCACAGTGGCTGGGCCCTCGGCCTTGGGGGAAACCCACGGTGTTGGGTTAAAAACGTCAGCAGGGCACCGCGACCTGGGGGCAGCTGGGCAGCCAGGTGGCAGCCTCGTCCATGCGCACACCACCTCCAAGGCAGAGGGAAGGGTGCTGTGAGTGGGCATCGGCTTCAGGGCAGTGGGTTTGGTGTTTGGGTTTAATTTCAATGGAAACAGCCTCTGGAGCTTTCTCTCAGTGAGCTGCTAGGTGGGTTCAAACCACCAGCCTTTAAGCCAGCAACCTAATGCTTAACCGCTGCACCGCCAGGGTTCCTTTATGGCTGTTGAGAGCCCACTTTGCCCCAAAAAGGTTACTGATCTGAAGGATTGGTGCTGTGGTCAGACAGCCCTGGGAGGCGGTGCTCCTTACTCCGCAGGCCTCTGCGTTAGCATCCTGGAGCTCAGACGCTGCTTTTTCTGCCTCTTCATTTGTGGTGTCTTTCAAGAGGGCCTGGTCCCTGGAGCCTGGAGTGTATGACAAGAAAGAGGCAGAAGGCTTTCACCCAGGACAGAGTCTTGATGCAGACCCCTGCCCCTCATGCCGAGTCCTGGCTGGAGTAGGGGCCCACCCACCTGCCTCTAATGGGGTGGGGGGAAATTGTGTGGACTGCTCATACTGTCATGATACCACTAGCCTAAGCCGTGTTTTGAACCGTTTCCTCTGATTTACTATTTCCAATCAGAGATTGTCAGGCCCTGGATTCCAAGAACCTGAGTCTGCACAGGCCCTAGGAGGCCTAGCCCTGCGTGTCTCCCTTTGTGTCTTGTTGAGTGGGTGCAGACTCACAGCGACCAGACCTGTAATACACAGAGCACTGGCCCAGCCCTGTGCTGCCCTCACAGTCCTTCCAGTCCTGTCTCCAGCGCTCAGACACTGCTCTGTTGTGATCCGCAGGGCTCCTTTTTGGAAGGAGATTGCCAGGCCTTTCCTCCTCCTCTCAGGCTGGAAGCTCCTCTGAGACCTGTCACTCACAGCAACGTGCAAGCCACCACAGCACAACCAACCAGCAGCTGGGCAGTGGCCATCTCTTTTGCACTAGAAAAGAAATGCTGCAATGAGTACATTTCTTTTTTAAAATTTGTGTTTATTCTCTATTAGTTTGTATAAAAATGTGTATACATTGTGTTTCATTCATATACATTCTATTTCTCACATTCTTTCATTCACATTGTGTTTTATACGATCATTCCCATACAATGTGTTTTTTTAAAATCAATCACCATTGATCCATGCCCACTAATACCCTGTCTTTTCAGGTTCCCCCTGGGCCTTTCCTAATTCCTTCACCCCCTCCCTCTACCCACCAAACTCAGCGACCCTGTGATTTCTGTCCCTTGGTACCCATTGCGAGCTCCAAACAAAAATTGGGAGAGCATGGGTAATCATTTGTTATTCCTGGAGCCACCAAGTGTAGAAGAATTTAGGAGTTAGCAGTGCTGGCCAGAGCGGAGTCTGGATTACGTTGGGTCAGGATGTAGCAAGCCCCGCATTGGGTCTAACGAGAAATGCACCATTAAGTCGCAGGTACATTAAGTGACAGAGTATAGACTCCAGCACAAGCTTTGTCCTTCAGATCCAGGCGTGTGTCTGTGCTCGCTGAGGTTCTCAGACGTCTGCTCCGTTTTCTTTCCCTGCAGATCTGCCTCAACCGTCGTTGCCAGAACATCAGCGTCTTCGGTGTCCACGAATGCACAGCCCAGTGCCACGGAAGAGGGGTGAGGACGCAGGCCGATCCCTGCCAGTCACTTACTCCGGGGGACGCAAATCAGTGGTGATCCCATGGGGGCTGCTTCGAAGAAGCGAGCGAGCCTGGTGTGCACGTTGGCTGTTGTTGTTGTTAGGTGCTGGCCAGCGACTCAACCACGACTCAGACTATTACTAGCAGAGCAGAACCGTCCCGTCCTGCGCTGTCTCACCCTCTCTGACAGGCTCAAGGCCACCGTTATGGTCACCATGTCAGTCCATCTTGTTGAGAGTCTCTCTTTCTCTGACCCTCCGCCTTTGCCAGCATGAGGTCTTTTTCCCAAGGACTGGCCCTCCTGACAGCATGCCCGTAGAATGGGAGAGTGTTTCACCATCCCTGCTTTTTAAGCAGCTCCCTGGTTGCATTTCCTCTAGAACAGACTTATTGGTTCTTTTGGCAGTCTCTGAAATGATCAGTACTCTTCTTCAACCCCACAATTCAAAGACAATGATTCTTCGTCTGCCCTCTTCATGTATTTGTCTGACTTTCAGACACCTAGAAAGCAACTAAAACTGCCATGGCTTGGATCGGGCGTATTTTAGGCTTTAAACTGACATTATTCTTTAGCATTTTGGGGAGAGCGTTGCCAGCATATTTTCCCACCGTTAACGCGTCTTTTCATCCCCTGCATGCTGACCGCTGTTTATCATGTGTACAGTGGCATTTGCCTTACCGACCTGTGGTGTCTGGCTGTAAGCCGGACCAGCAGGATGCATTTTGTTGCAGGTCGAGAGTGTGTCGAAAGGCCGTATTGCCAGAGGTTCCAACCATGGAAGGTTGAAAGAGCAGCATGTGAGAATGAGGCCCTGAAGGCAGGGAGGGGTAGGATAGATGGATTAATGGATTTGAGAGTTACACTGAGGAAATGGGAAGAGGGTCACTGCATCACTGTGGGTTGTGCCGTAAAACAAAATGTGACTGAGTGGCTGCAGGGAAAACCAATTGACTTTGCAGACCTTGGCTCAAATCACAGTCAGTTAATCAATCACATTTTTTAAAAAGAAGGCCTTCTTTGTCAAGATTTTTTTCCACCTCTATTTTTTAAATAGACATATATTTAATATTAAAATACACATTTAAATATGGATAGATATCATCCAGTATCCCCAGTCTTTCCTGCTAACCGTATTCATTTCATTGACCTTTGTAGAGCACAAGAAAAGTTTTTTCTTGAACAAAGAAAGTCTTATTGAACAGTAATTATCCTTTAAATTAGCCTTCTGTGATTAAAAAGAAAAAGGAATTCTGTCATTGTCAAGGTAATTTAAAAACCTTCTCGAGAGTTCAGCATTAACAGTTTGAATAAAGCCGTCCCTCTCTGTAACCAGTCACAGAGGAATTCCAGAGGAATTAAAACAAAGGCTGTCACATGGTTTTGAAATCACAGATACACAATGGACTTCAGCTACAGAAAGCTGTTATTTTAAATCAGGGAACCTGTAGAGAAAGAGAAGATGCTAATTGTTTAAAACATACTTTATTTTTCTTGATGGGTTTAATTATTTCCCATGGAATTCTCTTCGTCTTGATTAAGCATGCTAGAGGTTCATTTGTTTCTCTGAACCTTTCGTTCGAGAAATCCTCCTCCAAAAGCTATTTTTAAAACCTGCGGAAACTCACCAGCAATTTTAACCTAGAATGAAGAGGTTTTCTTAGAATTGTGTTGTAACAAGGAAGCATGGCCAAGCCATCTTCAAGTTTGTTGATTATGCACTTGGCTGTGAGGCTGCAAACGTGCCTCCCCCCAGGCTGTGACCCTTACAGGGACAGGATGTTGTGTTTTCCTCCTCCTGAGCAGCAGGTGCATTTGAACCCCTCACCTTGTGGTTACAGCTGTGCTCCCCTAGGACACCTCCAGCCCTCTCTCTGATCACCCCTCTCTCGCCATATCTGAACCGTCCTCGTGTTCATGAGAGAAACATGCACTGTCCTGGATGGCCACAGGGCTCTGCAGGAGGGAGCCAGGCACTTTGAGGACATGACTCTTGGGATGGCCCTAGGGGATGTGGTGGTGTGGGGTGTACAACTCCATTAAGCGGATGAGGCTGCAGGAGAGAGGGGGAGCCCCTGCCGTGAGGCCGTTTCTGCCCCAGGACCTGCTGTTGGATCCAGGCACCCCGCTGCTCTGATCTCAGATGGGGGGGGTGCCAGCCTCATCAATCCCATGACACCCGAGGACTCAGTGCCCACTTCTGCACAGGCCTCACTGCCTGCTGGGAAGCATGGTCTTAGTTGACTCAGTGGCACTTAGTTGGCCATTCTCTGCCGAGCACGTCATCATATTCTCGTCAGTGTAGCTACAGCTGGTCTTGTGGACTGATTATCTCATGTAGTGCATCTGTCCATGGGACCCCTCACAGCCCCGTCTGGTCAGTGTCTTGGCTGGAGCTCACGTTGGGTGGTGACTGGAGGATGTCACATGCCCGCCTCTCACATGCTGGTCAGGTCACGTGTACAGATATCATCTCATGAAGCCACGACATGAGGGGCGCTGAGCAGACACGTGTGGGGGAGGCTGGGACAAGGAGGCAGCCAGGCCAGCTCTCAGCAGGAGCGTAGAGACAGACAGCTCTGAGAGCAGCTCAGCTGGGCCTGGAGATGAGGCGAGCTCTGTTCTTGGTCAGATGCTTTGTCCTGGATTGAGAAGGGCACCTCGGGATGAACTGGGGAGGAGGTGAGAGGTGGGGGTGACCCGGCAGTCTCGCAGTGTCTGAGGGAGCCCCACAGCTGTGTGGCTATGATTGGCCTTGTCTCGTGGTGGCGTTTGCTGCGGCCGGCACCTGGTGCCGAATGGTGTCTCGTCTCGGTTAGGGGGTGCCCTGACTCTGTCCCTCTGTCCTCAAAGGTGTGCAACAACAAGAAGCACTGCCACTGTGCGGCCCACTGGGCGCCTCCCTTCTGTGACAAGGTCGGCTTTGGTGGGAGCACGGACAGCGGCCCCATCCGACAAGCAGGTCAGTGGACGTGGCCCAGCTGCATGGTGCGTCCCTGAGGGGGCAGGGGTGCTGGGGCTGCAGGTGCCGGGCAGAGGGCTGTGTTCTGTGGGTTTGGTGAAGCCTGGGAGGGCAGCAAGCTGGGGGGGGGGGCGTGTGGGGCTGCACAGCCTCCCCTTGTCCCCCCACCCCGGCCCCTGGGACTGAGCCTACAGAGTTGGCCGCTCTCATCCTGTGACCCTCTTCTCAGCAAGCGAAACCCTCCAGCCAGCTGCCAAGTGGGTGTGAACGTCACCCCTGAATAAGAGCAGTGGTGGTGATAGTGATGGTGGTAGCTGTTGTGGTAAAACAGTCATGGTGGGCGGGATACCAGTGGTCACAGGTAGTAGCCACGCACTGATGATGTTGCCGGCGGCAGTTGTAATGGTGGTGGTGACGATGGAGCAGTAGCGGGAGTCGAGTCGGGAATATTGCTGGTGTTGGTAGCACTGGTGCTGGTGGTAAAGAGTCCTTCTGGTACGAGTAGCAGTGATGATGATGGTGGGAGTTACACAGTAGTGATGGGTGGGAGCACTGACGGGACAGGGGTCGTAGGAACGGGCGGGAGTTGTTAGGTGCCAGTGAGTCAGAACAGGCTCCAAGCTGACGGTCCAGCAGGGTTTCAGCGGCTGGAAGCTACATGGGTGGAGACTGCTTGGAGCAGCCGGTGCATTCGAACTTCCTGCCTTGGTGCCTGCAGTGCAACTCCTTACCAGTGAACCACCAAAGCTCCCTAATGGTGGAACAGTATGGGGGGCACCGTGGGCTTTTAGGAGCTGTGGTCTGGCCAGAGCTGTAGACTGGCAGGGACATGCCAGGGAGCCGTGGGCGGCGGGGGCCATGGTGCTGCTGGGAACTGTGGGTCTTGTCATCATAGTGGTGAAGGTGGGGGGGGGGTGGACAGGGCACTGATGATGTTATTGTAGGAACAGCAACAGCTTCATGTACTGACAGTTCTGTGAGCAGCTGTGCTCAGTCTTTTAAGCCGGTCTCATTTGTCTGATAGGACTCTGAAGTGGGGGGGGGGGGGGGGGGGGGGGGGGGGGGCGTTGCTCATTCTCTCTATATAACAGAGCCTCCAGTCCTGGGCCATTAAGTGGCACAACAGGGGTTGGTGTCTCACAGTTCTCTCCGTAGTGACCTGAGGCCAGTCCCTGAGACAGTACTGGCGGGAGGGGGGCGGGCAGACCATGCACAGAACCGGCACCTGCACCAGGAGTCCCAGTGGCAGATTCGCCCTGGTCCTTGTGACACAGTGACCCCTCGTGCTGCTGTGGGGATCGCATGTCCCCAGGTCTCTGTGCTGATGGGCTTGATTCTGTGGCTTGCCTGCCGTTCCCATGGCAACAGACACACTCCTGCTCTTCGCCGGGCAGGTGTGAAGGTGGCACCCCCACCCCCTCTGCAGGCCCAGCACCGCCCCCCCTGCAAGGGCCTGGCAGTCAGTGAACCTGGGATGCCCCAGCCTGGCTCTGTGCTGATGGGCAGGCGGCTGACCCCCAACAAGCGCAGCATCCTAGGGAAGACATGGGCCGGACTCCCCAGGACTGGACGTGTGTGGAAATGAGGTGGAAGGAGGGGGTATGAGCTGAGCAGAGGGACCTGCTGGGGAGAATTGTAGAGTGTGAACTAGGGGTGCAGCTGAGGGGAGGGAAAGGAGGCAGACTGCTTACACAGGGTGCTCACTGAATGTGGGGGGCACTCGGCCACCTCCGTGAGCCCCTGGCTTGGGGACTCTGCGGAGAGGCATCATGGGGGGTGACAGGTTCAGTTCAGGGGGCAGTAAATGCTTACAGCTGCACAAACTGATTAAGACTAAACAAACCCAACCAATGGCTACAGATTAGGACTCCTGGCCGCCCTGAAGGACAGAGTAAACTGACCATAGATTCCCAAGGCTGAGTTCTTGATGGAAGCAGGCGACGTCATCATTTGCGCTTGTAGCAACTGGACAGTTTGAACTCCTGACCTTATGGTGTTATGCTGAGCTCTCTAACCACAGAGCCACTCACCCCTAAAGGCTCGCCTGCAAATGTGCCAGGTGAAACGGGCCCAGATCCCAGGGAGACAGACATCTGCAGTGAGAAGACCATGTCCAGAGAGAGAGGGCTCTGCCCCACGAGTTGTCCTCCTTAGTTCCCAAGGTAACAAAACAGGAGACTGGGGGGACTTGATTGAGCTTCGAGTTCTCATATTTTCACACTCTCATCTGACAGTCTAATCAGAAGTCCTGTTCTAAAAGCTCTATGAACTTTGATACATGTCGATTGTTCTAGAAAACTTCAGGTGTTTTGTGTATGAGTCGTGGTTGACTCACAGCAATCTGACAACGTGCAGAAGTCACGTCCTGTATAAAACGGTACAGCAGGGATAAAAGGGCCCGCGGTGAGACGCAGGTGGGGGAACACGGTTGTGCTGAGGGGAATGGAGATCTGAGTGTAGTTGGTATCACTGGGTCCAGGTCATGGGGGCCCACGTTATGTGTCCTCTCCATGGTCGTGTTGGGTTGTGGTTAGATGCCATCAAGTCGGAGCTGTCTCCTAACAACCATACGTGTGCGGCAGTGGTATGTGCCATGAGCCGGGGCTGCTGAACAGCTGGCCGCTCTCCACTTTTCCCGAGACTGGAGATCGCACAGGAGACGGCCCCTCTTTCTCCCCTGGGGCGGCTGGTGGACCCAGATCCCAGGCGTCTGGGTTGGCAGCCCCCGTCACCACTCAGGCAACAGAGCTTCCTGACCTCGTGCCTCACAGAGCCGGGTCCTTGCCAGGCCTGTGCCTCCCACAGTCTGTGCTGGGCCGGCACTTGCTGCAGCCCCTGTGCCAACGTGTCTGAGGGTCTTCCTCTTCTTCCCGGGCCCTCTGCTTAATCAAGCGGAATGTCTTTCTCCAAGGCCTGGCCCCTCCAGGTAGTCAGAAGTCCACTCAGAGCCTGGGGTGGGCTTGGATGGTGTCTGAGTCTCCTATAGTCTCACTGTCCCGCGCTCGGTCAGATAATGGTCTTCTGTGATCCGTGGAGCTTTCACATACTAATTGCAGGAGCCCTTTCTTCCTAATCTGAAATCTAGTCACTATGGGTGACCTTGTAGACGGGTGGCACAGCTTCAGTCTTACAGTGACACTCAAACCATCGTGGCCGGCTGCACGGCGAATCATCTGAAGGAAGCCATCTTGGTACGGGACATAGTTAATGACGATGGCTGGGAGGACTTCAGTGGTCAGATTCCTTTAATTCTGGTGGACTTTAGTGGCCGTCATTGCTATTGTCACACGTGGGGGCAGGGTCTGTACCTTCATGCTGCACGTCCATATTCCTGTCTGGCAGGTCACCTTGTTAGGAATGACAGTGGTGAAGACTGAGCCTCAGAATGGACCTGATTTAGGACCACATTACCTGGGGATCACACTCCATTTCTGACTGCTCTCTCCAAGTCTCCTTTGCCCTCTATGTCGTCAGCTTCCCGCCTCACACCTTGAGTCCCTCGGGACATGGGTCTGTCTGTCCTCTTGCAGGTAGCCAGAGTCTGACGCTGGGCCTCCTGGTGGCCACACTGTGCCTCCTCGCTGTGGGGTCCATGGTGTATCTCAAGAGGAAGACCCTGACTCTGCTGCTGTTTACGCATAAGAAAACCACCATGGAGAAACTAAGGTACCTCAACTGCAGCTGTCCAGGACGTGGCCACTGCTCACTCGGCTCTCCAAAGCAGGAGAGAGCTCTGGAGAGAGAAATGCTTTTGTTTCTTCTTCTTGCCCTGAAACTTCTTTCAGATGATTGGGCGCTTGCTCCACAGATAAGCAGGGTGCTGATTAATTCCACCCGTGTATTTCCTCCCTTGCGTTAATAATTTTTAAATGGCACAATACATTAAGGTCCCGTCCTCAGAGGGGGTGCCATTTGATCCAGATCTGCTCAGAGACAGGACTGCTTAGCTGGTGCTGTCATACTGAGTGTCCCCTGGGTGTCTCCAACTGCCTCTCTCTGCACTGCATGAGCTAATGTTGCTGTTGTGGCTTTAGGGTGAAAAAAAAAAATCAATATTTTTAATCTTGTGTGAGGGCTGGATAATTTTTCCTTTGCATGTTTACCACGCCGAATTAAAAACGAGCAAACTGGTTTTTTTCTGAGCGTGAACAAACTGTGAAGTATTGCTGTGCACGGGGTCGCGCTCTTGGTAACGTTGGGATGTGTTGCAGGTGCATGCATGCTGCCCGGCCAGCCTGTGGCCCCCAGCCTGTGCGGTCTCCCCTCTGCCCAGTCAGCCCGGCAAGGACACCCCCACCGCCCAGCACTGCCAAGGTGAGTGTCAAGTGTGCAGGAGGATGGGCACCTGGCAGGGGTGGGTGCTAATGCACACAGGACGACTGGGACAGGAGGGCCTCTGTGGGGAGGAGCACCCCTGGGGCCCAGAAAGTCACAGGATTCCATAGATGCTTCTGGGGAACCAGTGTCTCAGACTGGCCTGATCCTGGCCCCTTGGGTGAACTCAGAATGCCCCCAGCTGGGTGTTCAGAATGGCTGGTGGTCAAAGCCTGGTATCATAAGGTGACAGCTTCTACTTTGCCCAAGTAGGACCATCTCAGAAGACAGCCACCGTGTCACAACATTGGCATCAGCAGACCCCTCAGAGCCGTCGCTGTCCCTCAGCCCACCTCACCTCAGCGAGTGCTCCCGCCCCTCCACCGGGCCCCCAGCGTGCCCGCCAGGCCCCTGCCCACCACCCCGGTGCTCAGGCAGACGCAGGTATGCCTTCAGCTGCCCCTGTGATGGGGCTGCAGTTCACTTCAGGCTCTATTTGCTAACGTGTGAGTACAGAGAGGTTGCCTGTGTAAGTGGAGATGACTCAGATGGTGCGCTGAGCAGAGCTCTTGCTTCTATGTTGTGTTAGGTGCCATTGAGTCAGCTGCCACTCACAGTGATGCTGTGAAGCACAGATTAGAACCTGGGCCATCTCAGCCAAGCCCCTCGTTATGGTCACTGTGCATCTTACATAGTAATGAATGATATACTTCAGCTCCTGTCATTGTTAAGGTTACAGTGACCATCTGAGTGGTGACTAGGAAACAGGCATAGGACAGAGGACCAGGAATGATGGATATGCATCTTAGATACTTAGTGTGTTATGTTTTAGAAATAGTTCTGTTTGTTATGACATTGACATTAAACTTGACATTTCACAACAGGAAAATGGAAAATTATAAACAAGCAAGTGAAATACAATTCTTTCACTAATATTTCTTTTAATTATATGCATATTTTACATGAGTTTTTGTTCCTTTTTTGGCTTTTAAATCATCCCTATTTGTCAAGGCATTAAAACTCTTTAACATGTTATTCTAATGACGTTTATTATAGATTAATTTTCTAACTACTTGTCAGTGAGTGGGCAGGTGTGGCTGTCTCGACTTCTGTGATTAGGAATGTCTGCTCAGATAAGTGATGAGCCCAGTTCTCTCAGAAGCGATTCGACATGAAGCTGTAATGGAAAACAACAGGACTGCTGACTGTGGTCGACTCACCGCAGCCATCTCCAGTCCGTTGTGGGGGGCTCAGCTTTGTGCACCATACCAGTGTTCTGGGGGGAACCAGGGGCTTTTCAGAGGTGGATTGCCCGATCTTTCCTCCTAGTGTCTTCAGAAATTCCCTGGATACTTGCCAACCATGGGATACCCTGCTGGGGTTGGAAAAAGCCGCAGTTACAGCAGACTGACAGGCCTGTTACATTTTGCACCAACATTTCAGGGTATATATGTCTTATTACAGTCAGCATGGTTTTATTTGAGTGAAAGTGTACATAGACAGTTGGTTTTCCCTTACTCTGTGGCACCGACGACAATCCCCACTCTTTCTTCCTACTTCTCCCTCTGTTTCCTGTCCCATCTCTCTCTTCTGCGCTTGAGCTCTGGGCAAACTCTACCCTTTTGATCTCATATGGTCCAATTCCTTGTGTTACTGACCCCCTCCCCCCCAAGCTAATGTGGACAATGAATAAGGATGACAGAAGAGTAATTGATGCCTTTGATCTGCGGTGTTGGAGAAGTGCAGTGAACATCCCTTGCACGGCCAACAGAACAAACAAATGCGTCTTTGAGAGGGTGCAGCTGAAAGAACTGAGGAACATATTCAAGCGTCGAGTTACCATACTGAGATGTGAAGGGCAAAATCTTGACTGATCCAGGAAACAGCAGAAGAAGATGGAAGGAATACACAGTCACTGTACCAAAAAGAACTGATCATCACTGAAATATTTCAGAAGTATCCTATGACCAGGAGTCAATAGTAAAGAAGAAAGAAGTTGCACAGAATGCATTAGCCTAAAATACAGCCCCAGAAATCGATGGCATACCAACTGGCATGTTTCAACGAACAGATACAGCTCTGGATGTGCTCACCAGTCTATGCCAGGAACTTTGAAAGACAGCTGCCTTGCTGGAAGAGACCCTTATTTATTTCCATTACCAAGAAAGGTGATACAACAGAGTGTGGAAATTATCGAACAATATCATTACTATTACACGCGAACAAAATACTGCTCAAGATCATCCAAAATGGCTCAACCAGTACACTGCAAGAGGACTGCCAGACGTTCAAGCTGGGTTTTGAAGAGGCTGTGGCACCAGGGATATCACTGCTGATGTCAAAGGAATCCTGCCTGAAAGCAAAGAATACCAGAAGATACTACTTTATTTGTGCTTTATTGACAAATGCAAAGGCATTTGACTGTGTGGATCATAACAAATTATGGCTAACACCGAGAAGAACAGAAATCCCAGAACACTTGATTGTTCTCATGCGAAACCTAAATCAAGAGGCTGTCCTATGAACATAGCAAGGGAACACAACATGGTTTAAATTAAGAAAGGGGTGCATCAGGGTTCTCCATATCTATCCAATCTGTAGGCTGAAAAATCATTGAAGAAGTTGGACCCTATGCAGAAGAGTATGGCATCAGGATCAAAGGAAGATTCATCAATAACCTGTGTTATGCAGATGACACAGTCTTGAAGTACCTGCTGCAGAAGATCATCAAAGACTACATCAATGTCAAGAAAATAATTCTCACTACTGGACTCATAAGCAACATCATAATAGATGGAAAAAGACTGAAATTGTCAACATCCTTAGTACCAAGAGTTCAGGAGACAAATTGCATTAGGAAAGTCTGCAGTCAGGGACTTCTCCAAATTCCTGAGTAGCAACGATCTCAATGTGAAGACTCAGGTGTGCCTGACTCAGGCTATGGTCTTTTCAATCACTTGCTATGGATCTGAAAGCTTGACAGTGAGTAAGGATGATGTCATTGAGCTGTGACAGAAGAGTCCTGGAGAAAGTACAGCCCGAACACTCCATGGAGGTAAAGATGACAATGCTTTGTCTCACACACTGTGGGCATAATGTTAGAGGCTATTCCTTGGAAAAGGGGAGGGTAGACGAAAGACAAGACGACCCTTAATGAGATGGACTGCGACAGTGATACCATACGCTCAAGTATGTCAGAGACTGAGGATGACACAGGAGAGGACACGGTTCTATCCACAGATCTGTAGTTCATAGGGTCACTATGAGTCACACTTGGAGTATCCAACAACGATGAAAAAGAGCAGACGCAACAGTGGACGTTAACACAGAGGTGAGGACAATGTGTGTAAGGGCCCACTAACTAGATAGCACCTAACAACCCGTGGGGCACCAGCACTCTTTTTAAACGAAATGAAATCAACCCATCGCGCTGCTCCCTATCTCCAAGTCATAAACTGTCACAGGAGCAGGACTCTCCCACAGCGGGGACGGCGGATGTCAACCATCAATCTTGACATTAGAAAAACCAAGTGTTTTAACCGCTGGCCATCATCCCCTTTCTTAAACACCAGTAACTGAGACATGCACCTTTACACTCAAGGCTGGTGGTGTCTGTCTGGACCTGCTTGGAGAGATGTGACCCGGATGAACCCGTGCGCTATCTCCCTGCTGCCAGGGATGTTGGAGGTGGCTCTTGTTTGAGTCCATGGACAGCTGCACACAGCATGATATACATGTTCCATGGTGTGTCCATGTTGACCATCTAAGCAGTCTGTAAGGACACCATCTCCAAGAACAGGACTGGTCAGCCTCATGTGATAGGCGAGCCAAGTCTTTACAGAAGATGTGTGATCATCATAAAATGTTCTGTTGCATGTTTAAAAATCAAGAGGAGATGTATCAACTCACTCACTGCCTTGTACCACTTCCTTCGCAGTGAAATGACCCTGGAAATTCAGGCTTCTCATCCCAACTCCTCAGCCTTGACCAAGGACACCGACTTTCATTTCCTTTTCATCCGGTTACCTGTTTTAGAGAATAATAATAGTGTGTGTGTCTGTCGCTGCTGCAAGTTCTTTGAGAACACACCCGCAGCATGTGAGCATCAGAAAAGGAGGATAAAAGCACAGAAAACCACCTGAGGCTCTGGTGACTGCAGGGACACACCTGGGCACAGAGTGGTCAAACATTCACCTTAAACTTGACGTTCCACTTGCGCCTCCTTGATATATGCTGCGCTTGCAATCCACCAGGGGCTGAACGGTAGACGAACCAGCACAGTGACAAGTGCTGTAAACCTTTGCTGACGCCGACAGCCACGTCTTCCCTCCCGCACAGGTCATAGCTGGAATGACAGACCTCTCAGGTAGCAGTCCAGTGCTTCACCACTGTGCCACCAGGGCTCTTGGGCACTATGAAGACCGCACAAGGGGAGTTTCGCTGGGCTTGTGAATCCATCACGAACTCTGGATGGAAAGAAAAGACAAGAAGGTAGTGTTGGAGAGGCTCCGGTGTTTCAACAGTGATGGCTTAGCTTTTTTTAAGATCAATTTCTCTTATTACAATTTTACATAAAGTTACATTTACTGTATGGTAATGAAAGAGTTTCTTAGCCACAGCCAAAAGCCTGGGCTCAGAATGACAGTCTCAGGACATCAAGGTCAGCAGGCATAACAGCCTACAAAGACAGTGGTCTACATTCTGCTTTGGTGAGTAGCAAATGGAGTCTTCACAGTTGTCGGTAACCATGTAACATCCAGCCACTGGTCCCTTCCCATCTGGAGCAAAGAAGAATAGAGCGAAGCAAAGACACAATTAACAGTCCTAAGGAAACAGGACTTCTGGACAGCATGAACCATGATCTCCAATAGCCTAAGACCAAAAGCCTAGGGGCTACCCAACCAACCACTCATCACGATTAGAGAAGAAAAAAATTCAAAATCACAAAGACTAGACTAACTAGTCAGCAAACCCTGAAGATGGTAGGCATTAGCCATCTCTTAGACCTGGAACTGGACCCAGTCCAGGAGAGTGGCTCTCAGCCAGCCTATAAAGGAAGAGTTAGCCCTGAAAGGACCATCCTCCTCAGAGCCACCAATCAACAGACCCAAAGCACAGCACTGCCCAGAAGCGGATCTCAGGAGGCAGGGAGGGGAATGGACACGAGGAGGAGGTGGGCTGCAAACACTGCCAATGCAATGAAATTGTTACAAAATTTCATAAATTATTGAATGTAAAACAAATTTGCTTGATAGCCTTTCACCAAAACCACAATAAAATGTTCAAAACATAGAAGAATTGTTAGGTGCCATTGAGTCACATACAACGCAAAATGACCCAGTGAACAACAGATCTGAACTGTGCCCTGTCCTGTGTCATCCTCTTCAAGCATGATGTTCACTCCTAAGGAACAGCCCTCCACAACAGGTTGAAAGTATGTCAGA